TTGAGAGTGCTCTCAGCTATGTCAATTATGTCCTTTGACTTGCTCTTTTGGGTATCAGGGATGAAGGAAAAGTTTCACGGAAGCTTGTTGAGTGCATCAATACCTATTTGTCAAAGGATGGCCCGAATTTGGGTTGCAAATCCCTGGAAATTCATGATGCTGTACATAAATTTGTGTTCCGTTGCTGGTTTGCAACTCATGATCGGAGCCTAAAGGTCACTTACGCCTATTCAGTACTTTTATCTGGTCACACTATCAATATTTTGCTCTTACCTCTTGTATTGTTACTGCTTTAACAGGATACACTTATTTGCTACGCAAAGTTGCAATTAAGTGTAACTAGAGGGGTCATTGATGGTACTGCGATACTTGAACAATTTCTGGATGTGGTAAACAAGGAGCTTGATCAAATGAGTGTTTTCAGCACCAACATACCGAGGTTATAATTGTTTCACCATGTCCTGAATTCTCAGAATGATTTCCTTTTCTAATTTAGCAATATTGCATTAAGGAGTGATTCAAGCAGAGATGAAAAATGTGGAGTTTTGACGAGCTCACAGAACAGTGTGGTTGAGCTTGCAGCCCTTGTCTTTTGCAGGGTACGTACATGTACAGAAGATAATTTACTGTGGCCTCCCAAAGGCATTTCTCTCCCTTATTTCATGTGCAGCTATTGTCTTTCATATGGTCTGCATATGATAGAAAAGTATGAAGTTATCCATATATAAGGTGATTGGTTTAATAATAATAATACCCAACTTGTTTGGGACTAAAAGGCTATGTTGTGTTGTTGTTGTTGTGGTTTAATAATAATAATGGGAAAGTATGATGATGACCTTGTTTAAAAAGAAAAAAACACAGCATGTGTAAACAACCCGTCTTTTAAACCAAAAGTTACAAAATGTTTCTGAAAATTTGTTTCGAAGAATGCTTAAAACATGCTTCTAAAAAATGTAGTTGCAAGCTCTTTCCATATCTGAAAACCTTATTTTGCTATGTGGATTCAATGATATGGATTGTATCATGCGATCTTTGACAAAGGCAATATTTTCATTTGTTCATAGATGTACACGTGTTCTCCATTAGTATTTTTGCCAATTCTTTTTAGGACTACCACTCCTCCTTCAATAAGAGTGAGCGCTTTCCTACTTTCCACACATTACATTAGGGTATCTAAGAGTCCTCTATATACATATCGAAACCATCTTAAGCATTTTTCTATAGCTTTTCATGTAAGGGGCTGGACGCCCTTCACTGCGTAATAAATTTGCCACTTGTTTTATCTAATCCAAGCTGCCTGCATATACATCTTATCATAATTTTTTGTACACGTTCATATTTAATCGCACAACATTATTTTCCATGATCATTGCAGATTTTATCGGTTGGCTGTATTCCTTTTTTAGATTGCTAAAATTCTTATTCTTATAAAAAAAATATATTGACATGACATACTTTCAAATAAATTTAATATAAACGTTGTATATACAGTATTTCAATATTGTTTCTTGAGAACATTCTTATTTTTATGTAGTGGGTGACTAAATCGTCAACATGTAAACACTAATTTGCTGGAACATAGAGAAAACCTAAAACACCAAATCACCAATTATAGTTGATATGGAGATAACTTGGAATTTCTAGAGAAAAGCAGAACAGCACACACACACACATACATACATATGTATATATAATATATACATATATATATGTATGTATATATGTACAACTATTGCAAGCACTCTGCTGTCATAGTTTGGAAAGTTAAAGTCCCAGATTCCTGAACAAGTTTGAGAAAAAGTTTTAGTGGATGTTCTCATACCAATAGTTCTATCAACAGGTGTGTACTAGTAAATCAAAAACACTGAGTGGTGATAAAAGAGCCAGACAGGAGCATACTGTGGTCCAGATAAAAGAGAGGCTTGTGGAGGGGAAATGGTCATGGTATGTTCAAGTAGATGCATGTGTCCTAACATGTATGTTCTATATTGTAGCCGTCACTTATGATGCCTATAGCTGTAGGTATTTTAGTACTTGAACTTGTACATATTTATTGAGTGTGTTAATGCAATACTAAAGTCCTAAAATATTGGTACAACAAAATCAGAAATGATGAAAGACCAGAAAATAAAGCCAAGAAAAACACGTGTATTGAATGAATGGTCACATTCTGATGCAGGATCTCGGGTTAAAACTGACTTTTATCAATGAAACAGGCATGCCGCATTTTGTTGTCTTATCCGCAAGTATTCAACTCGTGTAAAGAGAGATCTCTTCATATATTGGTTTGAAAACATATATGCAGTATTTGAAAGGTAATCTTTGTTGGATTTGTTGTTAGTTTGTATTGCTTTTGCACCACCACCACCAACACTATCGTGCATAATTGTTTATGCGGATAAAGCAACCGAGTATCATTTATTTTTCTCTGTGATGCTTTTATTTTACTTGTTTGGGACTAAAAGGCTATGTTGTTTTGTGATGCTTTTATTTTCTCAAGTCCAATATAACATCTGATCTGTCTTGTTGTTTTCGTCTATTATGCTTAATGATTTCATTTTCTTAAGACCAATGTGAAATCTTGTCTCTTTCTCCTTGGATCCAAATGATGTTTTCCTTTTACAACTCACATGTGTGTTTGCTTTTCCAGAATAGCTAACAGTGTGAATTTGGAGAATTCTTATGATGGTCTTTTGTGGACATTACGGTAAGTTGCTCTCATATATTTTTGTACATGGTATTGTCACTCCATTTTGTTTAAGGAGCTTGCAGAGTTTCTTGGCTGATAATTTAGAGCTGTAAATGAACCGAACGTTTGCGAACAAAAGCTCGTTCGAGCTCGTTCGTGTTCGACAAAAGCTCGTTCATTTATTAATCGAGCCGAGTTCGAACAGAAAATTAGGCTCGTTTAATAATCGAACGAACACAAGCTCGTTCGTGAACGTTCAATTATGTTCGCAAACATTATTTTAATATAATTTTATTTTATTATATATATTTATATAATATTTTTAATAAAAAATCTAAAATTTAATATAAATTTAATTATTTTTATATATTTACATAATATTTTTAATAAAAAATATAAAATATAAAAATATTTTTATTTTATTCTTTTATTTTCGAGTTCGAACGAGTTCGAATGAATAAATTTCGAGTTGATCAAACATATTTAAAAAAGTTTATATATTAAATTATTCGAACACGAACGAACCCGAACTTTTACGAACAATTAAACGAACGAACTCGAACACGATTTTTTGCTCGAAAAATAAACGAACGAACACGAACACTGTTCGAACGTAAACGAACACGAGCTCGAACAGCCCAAGCTCGGTTCGGTTCGGTTCGTTTACAACACTAGCTGATATCATTTCTGATCGTTCTTTTCTTATCATGCTCATATTTTAGCTTGGTTCATTTTCTTCGATACATGAAGTCACTGCATTTTTATAATTTTATTTGTTTATGTTTCCATGTTTGGAGACTTTTAATCCAGTAAGTTGCACTTGTAGGAGTTTGCTAAGACTTTCTTCATTGTTGCTTTTTGCTGCTCCGAGTGTGGAATCCTCACTAAATTCTTCTAGCCGCAAAACTGAGGTTTGTTAAATTACTCTTAGTATGGAAGTGATTCCAAACACACACACACACGAACACAAACGCACACACACTGGTTTGTTGAGATTATTATGCCCATTTTGTTATCATGAAAATTAATTTGTTCAATATTGTAATTCAGTGTAGTATTTAAATAGGAAAGCTATATAGTATGGCATTATGTATACCATCTGTTCATCAACAATGGGGATATTGTTTCTTTGCAATTGTTGCTTAGCCAAATATATAAAGCTTATTAGAAAGTAGCAGTATGGTAATACTTCAACTGATTGATGTTATGAGCAGTTTCTTGCATGTTCTGTAATTGTTTTAGCCTATGTTGAATTATCTTAGTGGCTCTGCTAATGATTCCACAGGTTGAGAAAGGTTGGCGTGTAATTTGGAGCTGTCTCATCCATTGTTTTCCCACTTTCATTAACGTAACCCCAATTGTAAGCATAGTTCTTAAAATCCTAACTGGATCTGTAAATCCTTCCCTTGATATTGTATATTGGAGCTGTCTCGTTCCTTTTAAGTTGTTGAACCTGAAGTTATCTATTGTTGAAATTTTTGCCTACTTGATGATTGCAAAGACAGTCTAAACCTAGGCATTGTTCATTCTTCATCGGTTCTAATCCTGAAGTATCTTCAGTTAGCTTTCACAGTACTTCAGGCCTTGATAAATTCATTTGGAACTCCATTTAGAGCTCTTTGGCTAAACTTTTGAGATTTATGGGCACTTGAGAAACATCACTTTATGTATTATGACCAAGACACTTTCAAATTTTATACAAGTAAAGTTGAAGATAGTTTACAAATTGATTGATATTGGTACTTCCAAATTTAGTACATTTAAATTTAATGATGTAGCTACATATTAAACTGTGGAGCATAGAAATCTAGTACTGTTTTTAAACTTGAAGAAAGTAAATTACGTATGGTTCTTATCTGAAGACTGATGAGGAATAATCATTGTGTTTTTGCTGTCAGTAACACTTGAGTAATTGAGTGAACGTAAAGAAAGAAATGACTCTGTATGTTTCACTAGGTATGGTTGAATGATTTCAGAACTCTCAAACTGTGTTAAAATGGATAGTGTTATATGTGCCTGGTTTGAGATTCCTTATCCTAAAACTTAAGAATCTATAAAACACGGAGTTTCGGAATATTTATATAGAATTCCTCTAAAAAACTTAGAATATAATGATCTTACCATAGTTATTTGCATTTCTACCTTATTCAGGTGGATGCTGCTATGATGCTCCTTTGCAATATCATGTTGAGTGTAAGATCATCGTCACTGGAGATTTAAGTTTCTTTCCCTGTGATGAATTTTCTTTTGCTATTCTGTGGGTTTACTTATTTTACTTTCAATGACCTAGATTTTTTGTCCTGTTTTCCAGGACACAAAAGATATATATGTTGTTCCACATGAGATGTGGGACCTTCGTGTATTTAAACACTTGCCTTCCATGTGAGTTTTCTCATTTGTTAATCGATACATGTAACTGTATTGCTTCTCATGCTGCTGCTCATTGTCATATTTAGCTTTGCCCTGCTTCTTGTTTTCAGTCTTATGAAAGATGAGGTGTTAATTTCAGCTCTTGATCTGGGTGAAAATAATCTTCTTCCTGTTCATTTTTTTGCTGTATCATGTTTTTATCTTCTCAAAACTAAAAAGAAAGATGCTTGGAGATTTTTCTGATCATTCCATATTACGGTGGAAATGTTATTTCTGTAATTTACTGCAAGCAATTATGAGAGAAAGGCCGTTTGTTTTGGAAACAATGTTTTTCAATAGCCACTATGGAGCGGCCGTGGCGGATTTTGCCCAAATGTGATGAGAAATTTTTGAAGGATGATCTCTATGGCGGCTCCACAGGCCGCCATGGCGGGTTTCTTTATGGCTAATTTTGAATATCATTTCCGCTAGCTGCCATTGACAACATTGTTTGGAAGAAATTACTTGTAATGCCACAATGATTTGTTCGAATGTCTTGAAATTCAATATTTTTTTTTTCCAAATTATTTTACTTTGTAACTTGTTTAAAAACGCTGTAACCTTTAAGAAAGCTGCTGTTTTATTTCTTTCTCCCCATGGTGATGGTGATGGTCCAGGCACGTGATATCCCTTTTGAAAGCTCATCTTCTGAGATCACTCCCTTGATATGAAACCATGTGGGTTTTCTTGAGCGAGGACGTTTTTTAAGCTAAAAGCAAAAATTGTTAAAACTATTGTTCTCAATCATATATTTTTATGCTTATTTTTTAGTGTGTTGGCTCGTGTATCCCACAGTTCAGATGTAGTACTAAATAAAAGATTTTCTTCATATGTGCGCATGTGCTTGTTTCTCTTATTCTCTTTTTACACCCATAAATGTTCAGTGTCCGTAACTTGGTGTGATTGCTTTTCCAGATTAAGCTACCTTTTCACATTCATTTCACCTAATTTATTGTTTAGTCGATTACTCTAATGTTCTCATATAGCTTTCGTGAAGAGAGATTGCCTTACCACTCTTTCTAACAGTTAACTTGAATACACATTTCAGATCTGTTCTATGCTTCACCTCATGCTACTTTTCCAGGAGAGCTTCGCAGGTAAGACCCTCGAGAGTCCTAGTCCCAATCCAAACACGATTTAAAATCTCTGTATCCAAGTTAAAGAAAATTTTCATGGATACCTATACAATTTGGGAGTCACCTTGTAGAGCTGGCAGATGGCTAACTCACCATGATGCATCCAAATAGATGAGAAACGAAAATATATGTTGATTGTTAGTTCATCTGTCAAAAACTGATACTGCTGCTATAATAAGAGCCATTTTACACTTTTTGACCCCAAATCCTAAGACTGGATAAACCCAAAATTTCTATGTCTTGTACACTTTTTTTTTTTTCCCCTGCTGTCAGAGTGTTGTTACTATGCTGGTACATTTAAAGTTACACTTGAACTTTGCTGGAGTTTTTGTGCTGAAGATGGGAATAAATTGACAATTTGTTGTTTCTGTAATGGACATCCTTGTCTCATAGTAACATTTTCTTCATGTTCTTTGCCCGAGAGTAAATAGCTGTTTGAGTAAAATGCAACTGAGTAGTCATAATACGACTTGAGACTGTGATGTAGAGCCCCACCATTTTTTTATATTCTGGTTCGACCACTTGTTGATTTTTAAGTTCCATTTCTCCGTTTGCAGGGCGATCACCGAGATGCATTTTATCTCAGACAGAATATCCTACGAGCAGTTTTGGCTTTACTCAACTTGAAGGTTTGTCTTGCATCATATGCAATGTTTTATTTCCTTTTGCGTGTGAGGAGGTAGGTAGATAGCTGGTGTAGAAGGATTAATGTTAACAATAATTTGATTAGATATTGCCTTGTAGGAATGTTCATCGTTGAATGAGCGTTTGGTAGTCGCGTTACCAGTAGCTGCATATGCCCTGTGTTTTGGTTCTGCTTGTCCAATAAATGAGCCTCTCGGGCTTGCACAATTACTCCATGTTTCTGAATCCACGAGTGAAAGGGTCAAGGTGCGTCCTTGGAACAGTAAAAATTGAATAATCATACTCTGCATCTTTATGCTTATGTTCTGTTAGACACTGATTTCGTTGCTGGTAGGAAGAGGAACAATCACTTGAAAAGCTGCATGATTTTTTTGAATGCTCTGTGGAAGTCCTTGCGAGGATTAGCGATGATTCTGATCAAAAGGTGTTGCATCTTTCTGCCTTTTTTTTTTTTTTTTTTT